AAGTTGAACTTGCGTTGTCTGGAGTCCAATATCCTTCGTTGTGAAGTTGAAATTGACTCTGAAATTGGGAAATTGTTTGTTGACAACCAGCGGTCCCTTCGTTGTGAAGTTGAACATACGTTGTCTGGAGTCCAATATCCTTCGTTGTGAAGTTGAAATTGGCTCTGATATTGGGAAATCGTTTGTTGACAACCAGCGGTCCCTTCGTCGTGAAGTTGAACATACGTCGTCTGGAGTCCAATATCCTTCGCTGTGAAGTTGAAATTGGCTCTGAAATTGAGAAGTTGTTTGTTGACAACCAGTGGTCCCTTCGTCGTGAAGTTGAACTTGTGTTGTCTCGAGTGGCACGATATCCTCCGTCGTGGAGTTGAAATCGCGGATGGCCCTTTCGTTGTGAAATTGAAACCTGGCTTGAAGGTGTTAACTAGAAACATACTGCTCATGGTTGAGTTTGTGTCGAACTGGATTTGTTTTGAACTGGTTCTCGAACCTATCTGAAATTGGTTCTAAGATGTCAAGTCGGTTGAGGTGTAGCTTTTTACTGCCGAGTTAATCAACCACCATCCTTCTTTGAAGGCGCTTGAGAATCGAGTATCCTTCAACCTAAAGTCAAAACTTGACTCTAAAAGCTGCAAAAACGTGTATGCTAAAATGATGAATGTGATGCACCTAAGTATGTTTAAGATGCATGCAATATGAATGAATTATGTGTTATCTTCTGGATGGAGTCTCGTGCTTTGTCTGTCAATCAGGTCCTTGGAATGGATCGTGCCCCATTTGCTTCCTGAGCTTTGGCTTTACAGACCTTTCATATCTGAGACTGTTCTGCTTGAAAATGTTTTTCTCATTTTTCTTGTTTTAAGGAGAGAGACAAGATAAAAATGTTGTAAAATATTGTTCGCAATTGAATCAAATTGTAAATGCGAGTTCAAAAAATATCAAAGGAATCAAGAGCTCTTTTAATGCTTTCAGAGTTACAAATCTTTGACAAATGTTCAAATGGATGAGTTGGCTTTAAGTAAGCCTCCTTTCTAAGGTTTTGGTAACCCAAAATGTCATTTTTTTTAAATATCGAAATATGCTTTGTCATTTCATTTGGGTGCGGACATAATGACGCAACTAGAATGACCAATTACTAGACATTTTATTTCGGTCCTCTGAAATCTTCCATTTGTTCAAGCTTTGTAAGCTCCTCCAACAAAGGCAGTGCGAAAAATATCGGTCTAAAAATGAAATTCTTGAGTGCTCGTGTGTAGTCGACTATAACAGGTGTTCCTTAACTCCCTTAGTCCATTTTACCGAAACTTCATGCTTAGATAAATTCGATTTAATTTGCCGTTATCTGGCTAGCTGAATCCATAAAGCCGGGGCGCTTAACCAATTGCTTTAGAGGGACAACTTATCATTATAATCATTTTTATCAAGTTAACTGAAGGGTTCATCTCATCACAAAGTCTTCGGCCTGACAAAAGCAGTGGAGCAAACACCGAATTGCCAAGTGTCCGAGCAATGTCATGGTTTGAATGACATCTATTCATAAAGCCAGGGCTTTCGAGTTTCCTCTATAACCAATTGCCTTAGTGGAATAGCTCAGCTTTACAGATTTAATTTCTTAAGATTGTTAAGAAGAACCTGTTATAGTCTAGGTGTTGTTGAAAGTCAAAAATTTCATCTTTAGAGTTCAATTTTCAAGCAATTGACCTAAACCGGATTCACCTACCCGACTCTTTCATTTGTAAAGATTCTCATCGTCATTGAACGTCTTAAATAAAAAACATAGTAATTGTCATATGCAAATAATGCCCCGTGTTGTCCGCACCTCATGAAAAGAAAAGGTTGTATTGGTTAATTGTAAGAGCAGGGTACGGTATTTGAGGGTATATTCTGAGTAAGGTCAAGGTCCTTGTTTTAAAACATGTTACTTTGTCAAAGATCCGAAGCTTTGAACCATTCACAGAGTTTCTTAATTCAAATGATATTCAAAGAATTGCAAGTTTACAAATGTGATTCATTGCTCGTCATCATTAAAGTAACATAAATTTATTCAAACGTTCTTACAAAAACTTGAAAAAGTGGGAAAAAAAAAACAAGTTCACGTTCTTACAAAAACTTGAAAAAGTGGAAAAAAAAAGTTCAAACAGAATGCCTCAAATGATGAAATGATCTCCCTCACTTGGATGCCCCCAAGTTGTTGAAGTCGATCCAGTTCTGGTTACGCATCTTTTGTATGACCCTTTTGAATGCGTAACAGTTCTCAATTGTGTGCCTTGGGACTCCGCCGTGATATTCACAATGCGCATTCTCATCATACCACTTGGGGTATGGGGGCTTCGTGGGTTCCTCCGGATATGGTGACACTATGTGAGTGTCAAAAAGTTATTTGTAGAGCTCTTTGTAGGTCATAGGATCGAAATGTTCTCATTTTTGATGAAACATGTGAAGATAGTTAATGTGAATGTAAAGAAAAATAACAAAACGCACAATATGTCTGAATGCATGATGCATGAAATATTCGAGGCATTGATCCAAAAAATGTGCATGTTATTAGAAATAATCCTTATTGGGACAAAAGTATTTTATCTTTTAAGAGACAAAAAATATTCTGACAGCTTCTGACATGTTGACTAGTCTTCCGCCTTCATCCGCCACCAGCTGAATAACCTGTCGAACCGCTCTGGCTTCTCTGGATGAACCGTGCAAATGATGAGTTGTTTGCCCTAAAAAAATCTCGAAGGACTGCACCTCTGACGTTTATCTTTTGTTGAGTCTGTTCCCAACGAATACGTCATTGGAGCCCTTAATTGATAGGAACTATGTGAAGTCCATTTGTCTGTTTCTTGAATTCGTCAGTAATGGTCTTCAATTTCAGTTATCGTTTTGCCATTGTCGTCTTTGAAGTGAATCCTAATATCAGTGGTCTTCATCTTGCCCCTACAACTTCTGCCAGTCAGTTCTTCAAAGATGGACTTTCATTGTGCTTGATGTAGACCCGGTTCATTGAGTCCTTTATAATGCAGTATGATGATATACTCTTCAATTGCGGGCACCACGTCCTCTGGATTGAAGGTGACACATAGTCGCCTTGTAGACTGCCCTCTGCATTTTCATCTCTTGTATTACAACCCTTTTGTCCATTAATGCTGATTATTCATGTTTAACAAACACATTTTTGGTGGATCAACACCTCGTTTTAAATGATGCGAATGATGAAAACAGAATAAAAGAAAACAAAAAATAAAAAGAGTTAGTGAGGTAAATCAAAACAATAATAAAAATGAAAAAATCCTACCCCACATGATATCTACCCCACATGCTTTAATTCCTACTCGGACATGATCTCTATCCCGCATGCTAATTTCAAACAAATCCTAACCGCATATTTGTCTAGTTCGCATGTTTTGAGCAGAAAATAAAGTAGGAAATAAAACAGCCTAGGGTTTGGAATGAGGTTTTGGGGTGGGCTCTAATTCCATGCACTCTCCCGGTTTAGGTTCTAAAAACGGTACTCGAGTTCTCCTTGCTGGTGCCCCCTTGGGCTTGCCAGACCCTTAGTCCTAAACCCATCACATGCTTGTGTGGACTAAGTTAAACTCGAGAGGAAATATTCCCTTATGCCCGCACGGTGAATAAATTCACACGAAGACATAAGGTATATGAATCCCGAAGGCTACTTGCTAGGCATATGCGGTGAATAAATTCACACGAATGCGTCGCTTTCACCCCCACTTAAAAGGGTTTGGAGCTCGGGTATAGAGCTTGAGATAGAAACTTTTCAAAAATCTCTGAAATCATAAAAAAAATGTTAGTACAACTATTTATTTGAAAAATAATCAAAGGTAAATAACTGGAATCGAATAAATAAATTTAAATTTAAATTTACCATTTTCGCATAAAAAGACAACCGAAAATTAATTTCGGCCTGACTCACTTACCTGTCCCCAGCGGAGTCGCCAAGCTGTCGCAACCGTCTTTCGATTGGGCCCGGAATTAGGTTTCGACTTGAAAATGTGGATTGGAGTCGCCACCGACCACTTTAAAACGAATTTAGGTGGGCCGGACACCATCTTACCTGATCTGCGTTGTACCAAGGACATGTCGGGTTCGGGAATCGATTACGGTCAAGGAAGGATTAGCACCCTTGAACCGCCCTTTCGGTACCAATTAGTTTGTCGGTTGCCTTAGTTGCGAAAATTTAAAACTTAAATTAAAATTAAAAACCCGATTCAAATTACTTACCTTTAATTTTGTTGAAATTCTTTTAAAAAACCAAAAAATAAGCATCACACGGTAAAATTATATATAAGTTCCGCATTTTGAGTAGCAGACATGAGCATCTAATGTTCATATATTTTACTTGGTATTTTACACAGTCAAATTATATATATATTGGCGGGATACACAACAGCAAAAACATATAAATTAATAGAAAACTACTCCAAAAGCCATGGTTACTAGATACCATTAACAGACAAATCTCTTCAATTGATGTGCATGCTTTCACGCATGCATTTTCTCAAGGAAGTTTTCATGTTCATTTAGACATGGTGCACTAAACCGAGAGGCCCAACACAGAAAACATCAATTAAATAATTAGTTCACAAAAACCGATACTTAAAACAGGATAAGTATCTGCAAACCTTGGTGTAGCTGAAGACCGACTGCCATATGCTCCACCATTTCTCTGTTTGGAAATCAATGCTCGGTCCAGGAAGCTACCATCCACCTCTTCAACGTGTTTCGATTCCCAGTCTCCGGTTCGAGACGAAAGTCCACTGGCTGAGAAATCTCTGGTCGCCAATGATTCCGGCGACCGCGATGCATCTTTGAACTTAAATTGTTCACCTGAGCAAGCACACGACATACCATGAAAGCTACTGCTCAGAAAAAAACTAGAATCTCCATTCACTGCCTTTTGGGCATTTGTTTCATCTCATCACATTTTCTCAGACATGTATATACACACAAATTCTCTGTGTGGACATTTTTGGCCATTTTTGTTGTTATAGAGCTTTGGTGGTTTCTCGTCGAAGAATGATGGAAATCGCCTTCATTGAAGCAATCTTCCCGTTCACCTCCTCTCCTCCATTCACCGGCAAAGCCTTGTTGAAATGCGACTTCTTGTAGCAACTCGTCGCGAACGTGTCGATCATCATCGTGGCTATGGCCGAGACCATGGTGAGAAAGCAGGAGAAAGGGAAAACACTCCAAGGCTTTTCGCTGAAGCGAGGGTTGGACAAGGACTCGTATCCGTCGTGGAGTATATGGACAAAGGCGGTGGCGAGAATTACACCGGCAACGAATGCTTTGATTAGGAAGAAGGCGTTGTTTTCCGGTCGAAACGTCGTGATCTTCTTGGCGAGAATCGGGAGTGAAACGCCGAGAGCACCGACCATCAAGATCGATGCGATGGCGACGAGTTTATATTTCAAAGCCTTGGTTCTGTTGTTGGCATCGCGACGAGGAAACAGCTCGTTGTCACAGGTATACAACACCTCGCTCAAGACGATGACAGGAAAAACCCACAAGAGCTCTCGGATTCGCTCACCTCGGCCCCCACCATCGATCATCTCTATACACAAATGGAAAAGAAACGAGTCAAAAGACGCAAACCAAAATCAAATTGATTTTGAAGTTAAAATGGGAATTGAAAGAGTGGTGGTGTGAGTCGTAGGAGAGCCCAGGGTCTTCGCCGGAAACAGTGGAATCGAGATCATTTTTGTTTCTTTCAATGGGTGGTTGTTCCCAAACAAAACGCTGCTATTTCACGACCCAGAAATGCCGGTGTTGTTCAGAAAATAGCTTTTGTGCAAGGAGATCATGGTGAGAGAAAATTGTGGAAAGACAAAAGGAATTCAACTTTTAGTTTCTGGGAAATCTTTGAAGTTGTCTCTCAAAAGAAAGGAAAGGAAAGGCTGCCAGTTGGGTGGAAATTTGAGAATGTGTTATGTGAAGATATTCCCCCCCATACTCTTTAAATGGCGAGAATTGAGAGCAGAGGAGAGGAATTTCCTCCACCTAATTCAAAAAAATCCCCTCTTATTTAAAGCTAATTTCAAACACTTCAAATCCATGCCATTTGCTCCCTGATGCATGTGGTAGTGGAGTAGGTGGGTAGGTGTGTAGTTGAGATAATAGTGGGCTAGTGGAGTCTGCAAAAATAATATTAATAGTATTAATAATATAATAATAATAATAAGTAATTATAATAATAATAATAATATAATATATTATTTAAGTCCGATAAAAAACGGGTGTCTACACAATCCAAACAAAGATCAGATCTCTCTCTCTATCTCTCTTAATTAGCTGTTTGAAAGTAATCTCTTCATTTTTTTTCTTTCGCTCCTTTTGCCCTTTGTCAGCTGATTACTTTGAAGGAGCGAAAAAGAAGAAGAAAACCCACTTTTTCCCACCTTTTTTTCCCTAAAGAACCCGTCTTGGATCCAAGCACATTCCATTTCTTATGAAAAAGGGTCCTTCATTGTGGATCCTCCATTGATCATTGACTCATAGCCTTGCTGAGATTTGGCCTTTCTTGATCAACCCAGGCTCCGACCCGACTGTTGTAACCAGACGTGGGCTTGGGCTCCGAATGGGTAGCCTGGGCGGGTTTCGAGAGACTTCGGGTCTTCGAGACGGGTCCATGGAGGAATCTACTGTGACTGAGGAGAGTGTTGGGTGTGGAGGTGGGAGAAAAAGGAAGGAATTGCGCTCTGAAGATGAGTCTTCCAAGCTTGTTTCTACTACTACTAGTGCAAATGAATTGGTGGGCTTCTTGTTTCCTCTTTTTAGTTTGTAGATTTTCAGTGCATTGGTAGAAAAGACAATGGTAGGGGAAATTTGGGAATCTTGGGTCAATTAATGCCGACATTTAGTTGTTTTTATTCTTTAATTTAAGGTTTTTGGATTGAATTCAGTGTGGGTTTTGTTTCATTGTCAGCTTACTTTGATCTAATTCAGTTTGTAGCTTAAGCCAAGTTGCGGGTTTGCTTGGCTTCGAATCAGTGAGGATGAAAAGAAGTATTTTAAAGATTCGTATAAACTGGAGCTGATTTAGATTCACATGAGTTAGTTCTGGTTTATGTTTTGGCTTTTATGATGTCTTATGGTTTAGTATTCTTAACAGAATGATTCAAATGGAAAACGGATGAAAAAGCCAGGCGCAAAGAATGAGAGAGAGGGTGGCAAGCCAGACCAGAATAGTAAGCCTGCCGAGCCGCCTACTAAGCAAGACTATATTCATGTCAGAGCCAGAAGGGGTCAAGCAACTGATAGCCATAGTCTGGCTGAGAGAGTAATTCACCTTTTAATCCTATCGAATTTGCAAATTTTGATATTGAGACTTAGAAATGTAACTTTTGCGTGCCGGTAAACAAATTTCGGATCCGGATTCATGGGTCTTGCTAGTTCATGTCTTAGTGTGAATGGTATAGCAGGTAGGTTGGGGCCCTTTCGAAACATGTTCTTAGAATAAGTTTTTCCTCCACAGGCCAGGAGAGAGCGTATTAGCGAGAGGATGAAGATTCTTCAGGATTTGGTCCCCGGATGCAATAAGGTTTTTACTATTGCGTAGTTGTGTTCTATTACTCCTTTATTCTATGTTTTGGTCAGTTTCGGTGTTGCTTTCTTCATATTATTATATGAACCTTGATACGAACTTTTCAATCAGGTCATAGGGAAGGCACTTGTCCTTGATGAGATTATTAACTACGTCCAGTCGCTGCAGCAGCAGGTTGAGGTATGAATCTTACACATCTTGCTGGAACAGTGTCCCGATTCTCAAGATGTTGTGCTATCCTTTCAAGCCTTAACATGTTATATGAACGTAATTTTGCAGTTCTTGTCAATGAAACTCGAAGGAGTTAATTCAAGGATAACCTTGAATCCTAGCCTAGAAGGCTTTCGTTCAAAGGATGTAAGTATGCTTATGTTGATTGATCACCTAGTATTTGTGTCAGCACGTAAGCTATAACATGAATAGCACTGAATCCAAGTTCTATGTGAGATAAACGAGTAATAGAAGATCCAGAATTTAAAATGTGAAGCAATTTATAACCAAGCCTGAGCCTAAATTCTTAGGGTTATGTTTCCTCTAACACAGGCACCAAGCAAGAAGATTCTAAAATACTTGCTGCCTTTATTCCGATGGTCTCTCTCGAATGAACCTAGGTTTTCAAACAACAAACCAGTTGATTTTCTAAATTTTAGTGTTGCATGAGTGAAGTGCAACAAGCATGTGTGTGTGTGTGTATATATAAAGCTCAAGATATATAATAAACCTTAATAATTGTCAATTTTATCTACAAAACATGCAATTTTATTGGTCGATGTGCACGATTTCCTTATGGTCCATGTCTGTTGTCGAATTCTGAAATGTCGGTAAAGAAATTGTAGAGAACTTTAACGAGGTGGGCAGTTTCTTTTACGTCTACCACCTTGTGAAAAAGTGCACCTGGGTGCACTAAGCCTGCACTTGATCGGATGCACCTTTCCCAAACTTATCTGCATCTTTTGTTTCGGTTTTGAATGCAGATGTGTTACCATGTAACTCCTCTATTGGCTTTATTCATTGATGCCATCACCCAAACTTAATCTGCACCATTCATCATGCTGACCATTGCCTTTAAAATAATACATTTGGCAGTTGGCACTGCAGAACTTGGCAGACGTACTCCGATATGAGTCGTTCAATGCTCTTGAAGTTATCGTCCTGCAAAGAAAATGCATGTTTGAGATTGTTAGCAATGTCTAGTTCCAGAGAGTTTATGTATAAACTAAATTTAGCAAATATACAATCTTTTGCATATAAAATCGCAGAATAATTGGAGCTAGCTCCAATATCTTAACATGTGAGTATGGTGCTTTAGATTGGTTTGCAGCCAATAGATGACGCTGGGATGATATTTGGTTCACAAGCAGCAAGGGAATATGATCAAGGATCACAACCCGAGTGGTTGCAGATGCATGTCGGTGGGAATTTCCAACGAGCGACGTAACTCGGAGAATCGTCGTTTGCTTAAAAAGCAATAAGAACAATCCGTTTGTCGTCTTTTAGATCGAATGGTTTACATGAGTTGCAGAAAATGTGTTTCATAAACGTGGACTAGTGTTGCTAAATTTGTAATATCTAATCTGTTGTAGAAAATGCATCTAATCTGCTATACGTTTTCCATTTGACTGTTTCATAAACTCCATTGTATCGGTTACTGGACAAGAATTGCATCCATGTTCTTATGGTTTACCCGACGTATACGTTTGGAGATTCTAGTTTGTTCCTAATATATATATATATATTCATTTCTATTGATTTAATGAATATTTAAAGTTAATAGAAGAGAAAATATAGGGCTATACATACTCGAGCTTCGAACTATAGACCTTCTCGGTAAAACAGATCGAACTTATTATTATCAAAATAATCCGGTCTATTTCAAAGACCCAACATGCATTTTTTTTTGCATTGGGCTCTTTCATTAGAAGATCAGCTACTCTACCATAATATATATATATATATATATGAGTTAGAATTCACTTAAACAATATAAAATTCTTTAGTTTTACGTAGATTTAGGACTGTTGAATGAGTAAAAATAAATAGTTGATATTGACTCGTTTTTTTTCTAGTAAATATATTCACATTTCTTACTTTTAATCTCTGTCATATGTTTTCACTAATACAACGGTCTTAAATATGGGTAAGAATATCATATCTCATATATATATATATATATATATATATATATATATATTTAAGAGACAAAAATATTCCGAGGAAGGATTATCTAAAGGTAAGTTTGTTTCGGACCTAAATCAACTTAAGTTAAATAGAGTCTCTATCGTTAAAGGAGAATATGATCATTACCGGTAATAATATTTTTGGCCAATATATTATTTTCATAAAATTTAGTAAATATTTATCAGTATTTGTTAATTTTGATGAGATTAAATAATATTGTATTTGAAATGATAATGATGTAATATATATCATATTAAGTAATTAAGTATATGTAAAATCGAAATATCAGTAATAAGCGTTATTTGTAAATTAATTAATATTATTTTTATTAAAATACGAAACGTTGAAAGTTAAAGTATGAAAAAAATTAAAAATAAAATAATTATCTTATCAAATATTAAGAGTGAATTTTGACAAAAGTTGAAAAATGGCATTTAAGGCACTAGTTTACAATTGCTGCAATGTAAAGGGTGAGATTCAGAAATGGAGGAAAATTCAGGGGCTTACAAACGCAAATTCTAATAATTATCTGGTAAACAAAAATGATGTCAGCTTCACAGCAATAGAGAAAAGAGAGAGCTTTGAGGTCCAAAATTAATCTCCCCCAAACCCCAACCATGACCTGATCCAGAATCCCCAAAATCTCCCATCTTCATCCTCCCCCGTCCGATCGAACCCCCATCACAGAATAAAAGGCAAAAGGAAAATCGGCACCGAAGCTCTCAACCGCTAGACAATGCCGTCCCACGGGGATCTGGATCGTCAGATCGACCACCTAATGCAGTGCAAGCCGCTATCGGAAGCGGAGGTGAAGACTCTGTGCGAGCAGGCGCGTGCGATCCTCGTGGAGGAGTGGAATGTTCAGCCGGTGAAGTGTCCCGTCACCGTCTGCGGCGATATCCATGGCCAATTCCACGATCTCGTCGAACTGTTCCGCATCGGCGGCAACGCTCCCGACACTAATTATCTCTTCATGGGCGACTACGTAGGTAAGCAGGCTCGGTTTTCCTTGCATTTAATTGTCATTTCTTAATTTTTCATTTAAGTTTTAATTATTTGATTTTCTGTAAGATTTATTGATATGTTTTTTAGTATTTCGGGATTTTTGGTTTAGGCTAGAAATATTGTTGATTGAAAAGAGAAAATGTTGAAAGGAAGATTTGGGAAAGGAAATAATGCCCTTTTAATTTTTTCGTGGCTGGAAATTGGTTTTGCTTGTTTGTACAAGGCGAATCTCAACTTTTTAAGATGGGATTTTTGGGTGAGTAAACCGTATTTATCATCTAACGAGCTGAAATAGAAATGTTTTGTCTAGGCTAAGTTAGAGCAGTGGAAGTAGAAATATGTAAACTTTTGAGGATATTTCCTTATTTAGTCTGAACATCATGGTTAAATTTCTAACCATCTGGGTCCTTTTCTGAGTGTTCAATGCTTGGTTGATCCTAATGCTGTTTGGCTTCATATGTGATCTTCTCAAGTTATTGCCATACATTAAATTTGAGGCCACAAGCCCACATATGGTGCAAATTTACCCTTAAGCTAGAATTATCCAGGTTTTCCGAAATCTGGATTTGAAGCACTAGGAAGTGATTACACATAATGGTAATGTTACCTGTAAAACAGGGGTTTGTAGAGAGAGAGTGGATTGTCATTGAATTGAGATTTATGAACAATCTAGTAATGATGGTTTACTGTTTGTTTTTCTCTGATACGGTCTATTTTGTCCCCCTTTTTTTTTCTTAGCATTGCAACAAATTATACATAGTGATGCATCTGTTGTAGTTGATTTGCCAATCAGTCCTTATTTATGTGTTTTTCTTGTTATACGCAGATCGAGGATATTACTCCGTGGAGACTGTCACTCTTCTAGTTGCACTGAAAGTTCGTTATAGAGACAGAATAACTATTTTAAGGGGAAATCATGAGAGTCGCCAGATAACTCAAGTGTGCGATATGCATATTAGTGTTTTTCCCTTTTCATTCTGAAACTACTGATATGTCTTGTTAAACCTGCAACACTTACTACTTAAACTAATGTGACATCATTCATATAATAGTATTAATGTGTGAAGTTATTTAGTAATTTTGCTAAACCATTCTATGTTCATATCAATAAACAAATACTGCTCTTTTCAGGTATGGCTTTTATGATGAATGCTTGAGAAAATATGGAAATGCTAATGTCTGGAAGCATTTCACTGACCTCTTCGATTATTTACCTCTGACTGCCCTAATCGAAAGTCAGGTTTGAATTCTCTTACCCTGTCATGTTGATTATTTCCAAATCTCAGCTGTGAGCTGATAACACACTTCATATTCCTTGCAGATTTTCTGCTTGCATGGTGGACTCTCACCATCTTTGGATACATTAGATAACATCCGTGATCTGGACCGCATACAGGAGGTAAACTTCTAGTTATATTATATACTTCAGGGTTAAATGTTTTTAGTTTGTGTATAATGTCTACCTTGTTAAAAAAAATAGTGTGTGCCATAGAACCTTTTGGAAATCTTGTAATGGATTCATACTAAATACCCCATAGTGGAGTTCATAATGGATATTACCTTTTGCGAATAGGAAGTGGTTTAGACTGTTAAGAGTAAGCTATTATGGCTCTTGTGATTTGCATGACTCACTTTAACTGATGATACAATCACTCTCACACCATAAATTAACTCCTGGATTGCAGCGTGTCTTTGTTATTGTCATTTCTAAAGAGATTAATGAGTGGTGATGCTCATATGGTGAAATTATTAAACGTGTAGTCACTCTTTTTCATCTGGTTTCTTAGTTATACCATTTTCACATTTTTTGGCTGTGTAGGTTCCTCATGAAGGTCCAATGTGTGATCTCTTATGGTCTGACCCTGATGACCGATGTGGATGGGGAATATCTCCTCGGGGAGCAGGGTATACCTTCGGACAGGATATTTCTGGGCAGTTCAACCACACAAATGGGCTCACTCTGATTTCTAGAGCTCACCAGCTTGTAATGGAAGGCTATAATTGGTCCCAGGTTTGTGGATCATATTTTGAATGATTTATCCACACAGATTGCGCATATTGATCTCTGTGTGATTATTATTGCAGGACAAGAATGTGGTAACGGTGTTCAGTGCACCAAATTACTGCTACCGTTGTGGAAATATGGCTGCAATACTCGAGATTGGGGAGAACATGGAGCAAAGTTTTCTTCAGTTCGACCCGGCTCCTCGTCAGATTGAACCGGACACCGCGCGTAGAACGCCCGATTATTTTTTATAATTCTCGTAGCCAAATTTTCATATTCGCTATTGTGTTTTTGTAGATGTCTTACAAAAATCAGAGAATTCTGGCATCTAGTTGAGGGAAAAACAAAAGAAACCTTTGTTTTCTCCATCATTCTTTTGGTTATTCTGCTGTTGCATTCATACGAGTGTATAGGTTTCATTTGTAGAATAACAAGCTTTTCTTCTCTTCTTTCCTTCAATTGTTCTTTTTCCTGTGTTTCGAGTCCGAGTTTGAGTCGAATGAGGTGATTAAAGTTCCATGTTCCATTTACTTTTTCAGGTAAAATGTTGATTATATGTGAGAGATGTTTCTTGATTTCCCAAACTTGTTCTTTGTGGACTAACTGAATTATATAAGCTCAATTTTGAATTGCAAATGTCAGTGATCTCTTGGTGAATGCCATTTCCTCTTTTCAACCTTGGACTACCCCATTAATCACCAGATTATTAGGGATGTCATGTTTTGGTCATTGAATTAGAGCTCTTACAAATTTAGTTACTAGTGTCACTCTTTAATTTTAATTTAGACTCACGAACCGAGCGATCTCATTGGTCAAAGAATTGTTATTTCTTGAGGTATCGGGTTCGAACATCATAAATATTAGGGGTGTGAACGTTCGATATCAATTTATTCTATGTTATATTTGAGTAAATCTTATCTTGTATCTACTCTAGATTAATAAAAAAATAATTTAGATGGATGAGCTGACGTGTTAGTCTTTTAATTGATATGGGTACGCATTCAGTCTTGTAAATAATTTATCCCTTATATTTATAAATTTTATCAATATGGCCCTCTATGTTTATGTATTTAGTCCTCAACACTTATAAAGTCTGTCAGTTTCATCTTGATACGAAGTAATACAATAAATTTAGCCTTCATATTTGTAAATCCTTTTAATTTGGTTCAATTTCTAAATAATTTGAAAAAAAAAATTAGCCTCACATCTGATTCTAAATAATTCAACAATTTAGCTCACATTTGCAAAATTTATCAATTTGGCTATCCATATTTAAGTTTTCGGTCCTCAACACTTACAAATTCTATCAATTTTATCCTAATTTTGAATAATTCAACAAATTTAACTCTACATTTACAAATTTCATCCTAATTCTGAATAAATTTATAATGTAATATTAAGCAGTATTATTTTAATTCAGATTGACATTTAATTTCGATATTATTTTTAACAAAAAATGCTGCTCTCCTTTGCTCATGATAGTGCCTCCAATGTGATAATAAACACTGTATGATTATAAGTATATTTTAAATCTATATTATACGGGTCATCAACGAATCAAAATTTGTACAAATAGAGTGTGCATCTAAACCGGTGAAGGAATTACTAAAGGATTGGGAGTAACTTTGGCCCCATGAATTTTTTGTCTAATAGTAATTTTGGTCCTTGTTAGTTTAATTGTGTTCAATTAAGCCCTAATCCTCCAACTTTTTATGATTAAATATTCTTTAGGGCCCTATTAATTTTTAAAAATTAAACAATTTAACTACTCCCACTATCATCTACTCATCAAAGTCTTCGCCAATCTCACTATTTTGCCTCTGAAACCTTCCCATCGTCGAAATGTGCATCTTCTTCTCTAGAATTTTCATCCGATCCATTTGACGCATTGCTTTCTTTGATTTGGCCGTGGCTTCCCCTCCCGTCTTCTCCGCCATCGGATCGGAATCGGTTCCCACTTTCTTGGTTTTGTCCATGGTGGCTGCTGCTTCTGCCGGCTCCACCTCTGACTCAATCTGATGATGATCTTTCTGAGTCGTCGAGTTTTCCCTACTGGTAATAGTTAGTGCGGTTTCGGGTTTGTCGCAGTTGGAGGACGAAAGCGACGTCGTTTTGGTGTCGCCGTCGTTGATGGTGGTGGTGTTTAGTTCGTCGTTCTCGTCTCTTTGTGTATGCTTTTCGAAATCGCTTTCCTGCAGGCGGCCGTATTTGGCCCGGTAAACCTCGAGTTCGATCTCCAAGTCATTGAGTTCCTCCTCTCTTTTGGCCACCAGATTGGTCATCTCCTCCAGTGTTTCTTGGTCGTACTCGGCTTGTTCTTCCATCATCCTCTGGTACTGGAACGCCTCCATCTGAACCGCCGCTTTCTCGGCTTGTAACCTGGTGATCATCGCCATCGCGTTGTAGGCGGCCACGGCGGAGGCGTTGCGTTCTTCGTCGAGTTCCATGTACAGTGCCATCAATGACTTCCGCCCCATGCGGGGACTGCTGGGGGTGTGGCCGTCGTCGTTGCAATCAGCGGCGGCGAACTCCGATGTGTGAAGCAGTATCTTCCTCGGAGTTTTGGCCGCCCACCGGGGACTGTCGGCTGAGGAATCCGACAAAGGGATGCCGAAGAACTTGCTGCTCTTCGCGGTCTTGTCTTCTTCATCACCCTCCGGCACCATTGGCATTGGACCACCCTTGCCATCTTCCTTCACTGTTATACACATTGATCACCAAAAATCTAATATTCATGAAATGGTATATTTGTTGTTTTAGTATCTCAACTATGCTGAAACTACATATTTATCTACTTCATAATCTACAAGAGTTGAAAACTCTATTTTTATTAACGGTATTCATATTAATCCGTTACTGTTAACCGTAACTCTTAATCGGTGTAACCGTTATATTTTATAAGTCAATTAACCGAATTATTAAAATTTAACATTTTTGGTTAATCAAACCACTAAAATATTGGTTAACGGACAATTATGAAATTTGATAAATGGTTCATTAATTAACCGTCAATAAATTATAATTAATTAATTATATGTTTTAGAGAATAGAATTAGAAATAAAATCAAAATAGTTCCTCTTATTTTTTTAGTTATCATTTTTATCTTATATAAGAGCACATTAAAACAAATATAGATAAAATAAATACATGATTTTGAATCGTAAAATGTAAATATACACCTAAGATTTTAAAGTATAAAAAATGAAGATACCTCATAATATATATTTCTATAAAATAAAATGTATTTACAAATAAATAAGATTTTTAAAAATATATATGTTTTTATTGTCTAGATTTAATGAAATTTTAAAATTTTTAAGTTGTGTTATGTTTGATAAAAATTGTAATAGGTTAATTATAGATTATCCTATAACCGATTCGTTAATAACGTTTAGGCTAAACAGTACTGTTAACTGACCATAAACACTCCTAATTTTTATAGTTTTATCAGTAGGTTCAAATTAAACTATATATTTAACTTAGGATCATCATATTATTCAAAATAAAGTAGAATGATTAAATTATAAAGTTTAACATAATAGAAGGTCTAAAGCCACAATTAAACCTATATGGTAGAAGGTCTAAAACAACAAACGGAAAATGAAACAAAATATGCGCGTAAATGCTTGGAAGTGTAAACTCACATGGCATATCAAGGGCTAATCCCCTTGAGCGATCATTGTCCTCCGGCGACAAATGATCGGCCGACGGCGACGGAGCAAGGGAAGACAGGGGAGAATTTCTGCCCTTGGAACCGGTGGATTCCACCTTCAATCGATGCCCACAGCACGTACAACGATGCTCATTGCTCCTCTCAAAACCCGCCGGTCTTTCATCCCTTTTAGCATCGGAAGCCGGCGGCAACGAGTGATGTACTTCGTTGTTGTTTTCGTCGACCAACAACTGATCCACATCCTTGTGTAAGATCCCCAACAGGGACTTGTACCTATTGCAATCGGTTTCCCTCTCGGTCGCGAACGACAGGAGGCAGCTCTCGCACAAGTTCCGGATGTCGGAAAGCCTCTTGTGGACATGACAGAAGGCGAGACACGACGCGCTCTTCTTGTGGTTGTCGCATATCGATTCGTTGTAACATCGGTCGTCGTTCGTCCCGAGCAGGTCGAGCCTCGCACAAAGAAAGCAAGGGATCGGCAGCTCGAAAAACCGGGCGAATTCGTACGCGAAGAACGCGACGAACCCGCCGATGAACAACATGAAGATCATCACCCATTCGAGAACCGCGTAGATGAAGAACTCGGGGACGCCCCCGAGTTCTTGTTCCACGAACTGCTTAAACGATCGTCTCCCCATATATATATATATATGCGCGATTATCTATATATGTGATAATGTAAAGATTATCAGATTTAGCCCTTTCGTCTTGTCGGGAGATCATGAGAGGGTTGGCTTAAAGCAGACCGACATCATGACCTCTCTCCTTTTGTTGTGTACGAGGAAAGAGGAAGACAGTTAAGGCTAATCTTTGAGTTTAAAGGGATCAAAATTTGGGGTGGTGATGTTTCTTTGACTATAAATAACATAATGGTAAATGCTTAATGAGACAAACCCAGTTTTTTAAGACAGGTTTTGGACCTCAAAATGGGGTTTCTCATGCACTTTCCGACCGATGTTTCTGAGGTTGTTTCAAATATAAGATCCCAACTTAGCTTAATTTAAGGCTGCCTACATGGAAAATTTTACCATTTTATTAGAGGGATGGGGATCATCAATTCATGCTAAAAAAAGGCAATGTTGTCTACGTGGATATTTGTGGGTTATAAGTTTGTATATATATAGTTTTGAGTTCATTTTCTCTAAATTATTGTAGGTTACTGTAATGGTTTAAGTAGGGATGATAGACAGGTATAGTTTTATAGATTTCACATCGTATTTGTTTTAATTAGGATAGGGATGGATATAAGTTTAGTGGTTAATTGACGAATGTGGATGTAAAAAGTCATACCCATCGTGGGTAGTGGGTAGGTGATGGTTTTGAGACCTTACTCTCTCCGCATATGCCCACTATGCATCCATCTGCTCCACGTATTTGTCCGCCCCTAATTATTCATCATATAAATTTTGGACCATTATGAATTTAAGTATAATTTTAGAGACTATTCTATAAATCTTAAGATTTTAAAGGACATAACTTATAATTTAACCAAATGTTAGGGTATAAACTCAATTAATCCTTAATATGCTTCTTAATGAATGTGTTGCTGTTTATATAATTTGAAAGGTTGTTGCAAGACGGGTGTGGGTACATGATGGGCGGTGGGTATTCAATTGGATAGTGAGCATGGGGTGAATTTGAGAATATACTCTTCTGGACGGGTGTGAATTTAAAAGTTTTATGCATCGTGAATGATGGGTAAGTGATGGATACAAAAATATTAGAAGAGTATAAGGTGGTGTTTGTTTTCACTGTGCAACCTCTTCAAACATCTTATGTCTGCGCCGCGCAGACCACGCGCAAACATTAGACTTCGCAGACCGTTTGTTTTTTAGAAGACATAAGCTCTTCAAACGTCTGCGCGAGCTCTTCTTGGTGCAGACATGGTTTTATGTCTTCAAAGGTCTGCAGGAAAATTAAAATCATTTAAATCTATTTTAAAATTTATTTTAAAATATAAAAAAAATTATTTTAAAATATGAATTGATTTATTTTAAAATATGGAAAAATTTATTTTAAAATATGGATTGATTTATTTTAAAATATGAAAAAATTTATTTTAAAATATGGATTGATTTATTTTAAAATATGAAAAATTTTATTTTAAAATATGAATTGATTTATTTTAAAATATGGAAAATTTTATTTTAAAATATGGATTGATTTATTTTAAAATATGAAAAAAATTATTTTAAAATATGAATTTATTTATTTTAAAATATGGAAAAATTATTTTAAAATATGGATTGATTTATTTTAAAATATGAAAAAATGTATTTTAAAATATGGAAAAAATTATTTTAAAATATGGATTGATTTATTTTAAAATATGGATTGATTTATTTTAAAATATGGATTGAGTTATTTTAAAATATGGATTGATTTATTTTAAAATATAAAAAAAGTTATTTTAAATATGGATTGATTTATTTAAAATATGGATTGATTATTTAAAATATGGATTGATTTATTTTTAAAATGAATGATTTATTTTAAAAAATTTATTGTAGTTGTATGAATTATTTAAATTTCAGTATAAATAAAATTATTTAAATTTTAGTATTGCAAAACTCTTTTAGGTTTAAAAAATCAGTTTATTTTATATTTCAGTTTATTTTAGCTGTCCGCAGACGTTAAAAGATGTGGTCCGTAGACTGCAGACCTTTTACCTCTTCAAAAACAAACACCACCTAAGTGTGGGGAAGGGATATCACACCCACCCTCTAGTTTGCCATCCATAGGTTTAAGGAACCACTAAACATATATGGTTAAATTGTTAAACTTTGAGATGGATAAGAATCTAAAATCATTCAACAGAAGGAAAAAGAGATTAAGGCTTAATGAATCTAATTTTAAAATTTATGGAGGCCTAAAAATTAATTAAACCAAAAATAATTTTAGGGGTGAGGTTTAATTTGACTACCTGCAAAACTGGTAGGGACCAAGAAACTATTATATAAAAAATTACAAGTGTAAAACTTAATTTGACCATCGTTAATATTGGTAAGGACCTAAAATAAATTAAACCAAAACAATTTGAGGTTGGTAGGTCGCTCCCACCAGGGATAAAACCAAGATGAAGCTTCAGGGAAAATATAAATAAAAATAAAAAGAATTAAACCAAAAATAATTTTAGGGGTGAGGTTTAATTTGACTACCTGCAAAACTGGTAGGGACCAAGAAACTATTATATAAAAAATTACAAGTGTAAAACTTAATTTGACCATCGTTAATATTGGTAAGGACCTAAAATTAATATTGGTAAGGACCTAAAATAAATTAAACCAAAACAATTTGAGGTTGGTAGGTCGCTCCCACCAGGGATAAAACCAAGATGAAGCTTCAGGGAAAATATAAATAAAAATAAAAAGAATGATCATATTCTATTTGTTAAGTCATCAATTTAAAATTAGTAATGGATACATTAATATGTGGTTTATTTAATTTTAAAATTGAAAGAGACTTAAAAGTATTTAAAACGAAAAAATAGTATATCAAGACTTAATTTGTCTAGTTGCAGAACTAAGAGGGACCTAAAAATAATTACACCCCTGCTTTTTTTTTGGAGGCATGACCCTCCAAAATCCAACCTTCATGTAGCTCCGTTCCTCTCTCACCTCCTACTGTCCTACATACTGTGGCATCATACTCGTAACCTTAAGAAATTCATTCTTATTGCAAAATACATTCCAAGTGGGATCAATCTCAATTAAAATCTATATTCGATATGTTATTTTATTAATCCAGAATGATTATAAGTGGTAATATATGTTCTAAAGACCCAATCATTTAATGACGAACGTTCAAATATCTTAATAATCACCGGTACTCAAACCCGAGACTTCTAAGGATAACAATCATCCCTTTCATCATTGAGTTCACTTGGTTTGTAATTTGGGTAAGATATATATCCGAAACGTGTGAGATTTGTAGGGATCCACATAATTTAACCAAATCAAGTTTTAATTATTGTCAATAACCTTTACAAATGTTATTCACTTGTGAATCCAATCCATTTGAAAATGAACAAGTGATGAAGGTAAAGTTGAAAGCAACTTATGCAAGAATCTCATTCCATCACTTTACATTTTCTGCATAAAACAAACACAAATATGCTGCTTATCCACACACCTTGATTCTCAACAAACCACCTCTTTAAAAGGATTAGGGTGAATAAAGAATCGAGCCAAATGGATTCGATTCAGCCGGTTCATCCGGTACGAATTTCTAGTTCTAATCGAACGATGATAAAAGAAGTATGTTCTTGTACCGATCGAGTGTTCAACAAGGTTTATATCATAAGAGTTACGCTCTCTTTACTCGGTGATCTTCACATCCATCGTATATCCTATTTTTTTCACTGAACAGATCGTAATGCGAACTTTTTAAATCGAGTCAAACAAAATTCGGGTCATGGGATCTAGCAGTTGTGGTATCGTTTGTAACAAGTATCCAACTTGTTTGTGCTTCATTGGATAGATATGGGATCATATTTACCCTACTCAAAGGGCCTATAGGAAAGGACTTATTGTCTTGGAAATATAGCCAAAGAATCCCACCAAGAAAATTAACGTTTCCGTGGCTAAAACCTAGAGTTAAATGAACCCACGTAATGGATCTAATGATATATTCTCTCAAATTGCTCGGGAAACACGTTACATTAAGGGCTTATATATATCTACACAGTTCGTTATAGTTCATCTTTAAACGTCTCCGATCATATTTACGACTTCGGTTTATATCGGAAAAGATGATCGATGAAAGAAACGACAGCAAGTCCCTTTGCGAGAAATCGATGAAAGTGGTGGCGAACATCATTAAACTCTCGTCGTTCTCGATCGCCAAGATGAGTCTTGGCGAAGCGACTGGGCATCCGACGGCGGCCAAAGGTCGTCCCACGTCTGTAACGGATTCGGATACGTTCGCCGACGGACCGATGTCGCAGCCGCCTCTATCTTCCGGGATGTCGGAGAAGTTGCAGAGTAGGTCGAAGCCTTATTCGTTCGTGATGCAGCCGGAAGACGGAGGGAACGAATCGCTGGAGGTTCGCGGAGGAGAACGAGACGACGGTGACGGAAAATTCTCTGCTTATATAAAGAAAGTGCACGAGAAGAACCGAAGCAATTTGCACGAAGCAGCAAAGCTTTCACCCTATATGCTGCCGCCTCCTCCAACTCCCCCATCATTAAGAAGAAAGTAGTAGCCATCTTCATATACAGATGTGTACGTGTTTAATTTCGTAATGATGATCAACCGTTGATTAGTGTTTATTAATGTTGATTATTGGATAAAAGAATAACACTATCCAGTTACGAAATTTGAAATCTTTGTTAATTTCGGGGGACAATATTCACTTTTTGAAATTATATAAATGGTCTATCGATTATAGGATATTATTTTATTAAGTCCCTCGACTATTAAAAGTTACAAAATGGTCACCCGATTATTTGTCATGTTCTAAACTCGTCCTTTTCCGTTAAAGAATTAGCGATCGTCTGAGCTGAATGTTAACATGATGATTAATATATGATAGTTTGAGATTTTGGGATCATATTTTATCGTATAACAGACTGTAGGCTAACTAACTATTCTTTTGGACCAATAACTGATTGAATAAACTGCTTATTAAAGAGCATAT